TCCTGTAGTACATGTTTGCTAAGTTGTTGTTCTTCTGACTTGCAGCTCAAGAACCACGGAATTCACACCGAGGATTTGATGAGGTGCGCTCTCGAGTTCTTCAACTCGCCCAGCGAGGACAAGATGCGGTACTACACCGAGGAGATCTTCACACCCGTCCGCTACTGCACCAGCATGATGCCTTCGAAAGAAGAGAAGCTCGAGTGGCACGACCACCTCCAGATGTGGCTCAAGGAAGAGTCCCTCGAAGCGCACCCCTGGCCCGCGTTCCCAGCCAGCTACAAGTCAGTTTCTTGCTCCTTGATTTTTCGTATTGATCTAGATTGCTGACGCTCTATATGCAACAGGGACGTTGGATCCGAGTACGCCAGAAACATCTTCAAGCTCGGGAAGAGGATGCTGTTGGTCATGTCCGAGGGACTTGGCCTCCGCTCAAATCGTCTTCTGGAAGCATTCGAAGACACGGTTCTTCTGACAAGAGCAAACTTCTATCCGGCTTGCCCGAACCCGGGGCAGGCCTTGGGCATGGATGGCCACACCGACAGCAGCGGCCTCACGTTTGTGCTCCAGGATGGAGTCGGGGGATTGCAGCTGAAGCAAGGCGAGGATTGGTACAACGTGAGGCCACTCGAGGGAATGCTGGTGGTCAACATGGGCGATCAGCTAGAGGTACGAGCAGTCGAAAAGTTTGTGGAATGATCTTAATGTTGTCCTTGGTTGGTGATCTCAGAAGCTGAGCAATGGGAGGTACAAGAGCATATTGCACAGGGTGATGGTGAACTCGAAGAGCTCGAGGCTGTCCGTTGCGGCGTTCCTGGGGCCGTCACTAGATGCGGAGATCAGCCCGATTCCAGAGCTGGTGAGCCAGGAGAGTCCGGCAAAGTACCGCAGCAGGACTCATAGGGACTACATGCACGAGGTGTACACGGAGCACTTCTCCGGGAAGAATGTCTATGTGGCTTGAGCCTTGGGTAGTCAAAGCCACCAATGTTTTTCTCATTCTCACAAATAAAACAGTTGCAAGAAATGTTTGCTCACAAGGATCTTAGTGTGATAAGCAAAGATATTATCACAATATTATACAGAGATAAGAAATTTCATAGCAAGCCGATTGTTTGCTGCCTAGAAGATTTTAAAAGTTTAACAATCTGGGAGGAAGTCCAGCAATGTATTGTTAAGCAATATAACTATTTAGAATCACAATATGAAAGACATACGAAAGTCATATGAAACTTCTTATTATGTAAGCTCTCATCATTTCTTCAAGGCAGCAAAGAAGTTTTGAGGTACCAGAATGATATGACTGAGGTGAAAGTCCTCACCAAAAGCACTATTTCTTTTCATTTTCTTTGTATCTGTTGATCAACACATAAAAGTAACACAAATGGTATTTCCGGAGGTATTGCTTGTTGATTTGTCCTCCCAACGCTACATTAACTTTCGTTGACTCATTTGTAGAATTCAACATGCGAAAATTTAAACCCAGAGACAGTGTCATAGATCAGCTCACCCCAACTCGACACATACGGCAGTGTGCGGTGTTGAATGCATGTTTAATCCTAAGTAACTGACAGCTAGTTTCAGCCATAACATCGCTAAGCACAAAACCATCACTTCGAAGAACAAATTTCTTCAGAAAGCTGAGAAGATGTTTACTCCATAATATTGTCATGAAGAATGAGTAGTAAAGAACCAATGTTGATGTAACGCTCCACTTGGGTTGGCAGCGCGCCACGTCATCGGCTACCATTTCTTAAGTTGTTTGGGCAGATCTTTCTCTTGAAAATGCTTTGTTGATTCTCCGAGAAATCACTTTTTTGTAGATCTGTTGCACCAAAGAGCAAGCGATACAAGACGAACCCAGCAAGCTGGACGCCAAATTCCGCACTGGGAGCTCGATCAAGGACCGCGACAACCTGTGGCGCGGGCAACAAGAGCAGCTCCCAATCGATGATCAAGGAAACACTTCTATAGCTCATGGATCCGGGAGGTGCTGGGGCAGGAAGCGCTTCTACAACTCGTGCATCGGGGAATCGAGAGATTTCTCCAGAGATTTCTCGCTGGTGCTCGCGGCATTCAAGGCTTGCAGCTGGTGCCTCGGGCGGTGCTCAATGTTTCTTTTTGGTTGTTACATCGGCAGATGGAGCTTGTGATTCCCAAGTTAGGGCGGATGAAAAAGCGCATTCGGAGCCTTTTTCTGCGGAGAAGCATTAGCACAGCAATCACGCAGGGCCGATTGTTTGCGCCACTAGGTAATGTTGATATTAACTTCGCTTTTTACTGCATGGTTTGGCACAATGGAATGGAAAACCAAGAAGCTTGAATAAGGTATCTGCACGTGATCAGAGCCGGATTAAAGTACCATATTTGGTCAACTAGCATGACGTTGGTTTTAACTTTGGCGGGAGTCAAGCAGGGCACAGAGCTCATGGAACATGGATCCTAGGGCAAGCGGCGCATTGCGGGATCGCTTATCCATTCACGAGGTAAGAATCATCTGAAACTCGGGTGGATTTGGCGCTGGAGTGTCTTGTTTAGCTCACTTTAGGAGAAACCATTCGGTCGCTCTTGCGAGTTCTTTTGTTTAAGACGCACTCATATTTTTCTTTCCTTTTCTTGTGTAGCTTAAAAAAGTGCAAGACTCTGCTAGCATGCATCGTCAACAACGGCAGCAACTTTTCTCGTCAAGCTGGGCCTCACCTCCGCACTGTAGAACTTGGCGGACCTCAAGCTGAGAGCCACGGCGATGGCACACCCAAACAAACAGGTGGCGGCCATGACGAAGAACGTTTCCCTGTAGCACTTGGCACCGTCGCACAAGAGCGAGGCCTCCAGCGTGTCAGGACCCCGGTATCTCCTGGCTTGCCGATCGTAGAACACACCCGCAACTTCCACCGACAGGACATACGTCCCAATCCCCTTTGCAACGTTTGGGAAGCTCTGGAGAACTCCATAGTGCTTGAGCCCGAAGATCTCCACGATGATGGTCGACAGCACCGCCCACTGGCCTCCGGTGGCGAGGCCGATGGTGATGGAGCCGATGTACAGCGCGCCGGGAAGGCCCAAGGCAATGAGCAAGTTGCCGAGCGCTAGAAAGCCGACCACCGCAGCGAACACGAACGGCCGTCCGCCAAACTTGTGGAGGAGTATCTCGGACACGAAGCCGCAGCCGATTGCTCCCAGGAAGTCCCAGATGTTGAGGAGAGCCACGAAGATGTTCAT